TCGCGGTGTCTGCTCTGTTGGCTTATCTGAATTTTGCCCTAATTTCCAACCAATGCAGTAATATTTCTTACCCCCGCCCCCCGCCCCACGCCAAGAGACAAGTCTCAAACCAAACTTATTGGTTAAAATGAAGATTTGTCAGACCGTAAGTGAATCTTCTATACGATTCCGAGGGTTGCAGTTTGCGGCTGGAATGAATCCTTTGTCATCCTGTTTTATTGCCAAACTTTGCGCAATTTATTTCGCCAAAATAGTAGACTGAGGCCTTGAAAGTCAGGATTAGTATTTGTTCCCTCTCTCGCTTGTACCATTTTCTCTTTAACAGGTGACAACCTGCGACGACCTGACTGAGAATCATGTTGAGACACCTTGCTAGCGAGGCGATACCTCCACTGTGCCAGCTGACCGAGTGCTTTAATTCCTGAAGCATGACAACAGCTAAAATGACCGACTATTTGCAGGAATTTGCTCATCTGTTTGTTTATCCGCTTCATTCCTGTTTAAATCTGTCTTCCAGAGAGACACACCTGTTCAAAAAAACACGACTTTCGCTTTTCGTGGACACATCATAATTCCTTCAAAAACGAAGTTTTTAAAACTTTTAGCGTTCTTATTAAGCAAGTTGTCTTTTTGAGAAAATTTCAATTGAGTAGGAGACTATGAAGAGGAGCTATACCCTGTTGAAGCATTTTTTTTAAAATAATCGTGCTTTTCTTGTCAAATACAATTTGTGAATTGATGTACAAATTAGAGCAAAATCAGACATTTTTCGCAAACGTTTTCCCTGACCGATATACTCAAAATTAATTGACAATATTATTTATTCATATAGCGTCTTATGATTCATACGTCTCTTAAAATCGCTCAACTTTAAATCGTTGAATTATATTTAATGACCGAAGACAAATATACTAAATTATGGGATATCATCCACATTACCACACTGAAAGACTTCGGTCAGGACTACCTTAACGACAACGTGATAGCGTTGATAATGTATTAAGCGAATACCCGAATTATAGGGTCAATTCCGTTTAGGGTGATGGGGTATTTGGTGCAGAAGGTAACATCACGTCATGAACTTTGCTACCTAGTAACTAGTATCGAGCTGTGTCTTCCTGAAACGCGATTACGCTCGTATAACCGCTTTGACCGGCGGTTAACCAGTAATTCCGTTCCCTCCCATTCCCCCTCCTCGTCTTCCAACCCAAATAGAAAGGCCTCACGCAACAAGTGACAGGCAGTCCTGTAGGCAGTTGAGCCTTGGCCTGGTTTCTCATTCACAAAACCAAGGCGTGTCTAGTATTCGCCTGGGACAGGAATTCCGGCATGTATGGAGAAAGTTTCCTAAACCAAGACAGGAATTTCGCCATCGGTATGTCGGCAGCTTTTTAACTCACCTGCAAAACCAATGAACAAACAAAAACACTCGTATTCGTTCATCGCGCCATCTCGCAAGTCACCACACTGACTATACACAAGCGGACAGCCGTAACTGTTTGCACTCCCATGCCTTAAACATATTTATATTTAATATTGGAATAGCAACTTGTCATATCGCGATTTCCTTAATTTCCAGTTTTTTGTAACTTAAATATCCAAATGCTATTAAATATAAATTCGTTTAGTAAGTTGTGTCTTTTTTAACTTATGTTGCTTACTTAACTGATATAATAGTTTGGGCATACGCCGCGTGTGCTGAGATCGCGCAAAATTAATTTTTTAGTGAAAATGCTACGTTTCATCAGATAGGGAATCCACTGTACCTAATTGATCTTACTAATTTTTGACTTGGACAACCTTCTGCAGTCGATCTTAACTCTTTTCGACAATAGTGACTCCTTCCGAAGGCGTTATTCTTCAAGTCTACGATATAGACACCTACTAACCATGCACAGTTTTTCAAGCAGAAATTCAACGCATTTAAGCGCCTGTTTTGGGCTGTGCCAGAGCTGCAGCTCTTTCTCGACTGGTCGAACAGCTTAGTTGAAAGAACGGCTTTGCCAAGCCGCCATTCGCCGCATCGCATATTCCTCCATCTACAGGGTGTCCTAGAAGTAACTGACCCTATTTATATGCCAATAAAACGAAAACTATTAACACTAGGATATTGAAACTTGTTTTATTCGGAAGAAAAACCCTTTTATGCTTTTCTAGAACTAGGTTTTGAATACAAGGTCTTTTAAATGATGGCCATGGTTGTTTTGACTAGGGTTCGTTTCTTTGTCGTTTACATAACGCTCCTTAGTGTATCAGGCGATTGTTGTCTTATTGTAGAACAATTGTTGTTTTTAAGTTCTTGCAGATTTGTTGGATTTGTTACAAAAACCCTTGACTTCAGGCAGCCTCATAAAAAGAAATCACATGGGGTCAAATCTGGAGATCAAGGGGGCCAAGGAATGATGCCAAATCGTGAAATCAAATGATTTGGAAAGCACTCTTCTAACAAAGTCATCGTTTCTCTTGCTGTGTGGGCCGTGGCTCCATCCTGTTGAAACCAAGTATTGCGTAGGCCATGGCTCCGAATTTCAACAGTTAGAAATTCGCTAATCATAGTTCGGTATCTTTCACCATTAAT